TTTCTGGAGCAAGCACATGCGTTCACCAGTTCCTGTCATCACTTTGAAACAGGGATGGGTGACAGATGGCATCGGTGTCACTCAAAGGCTTGTAGGTGGCACTCAGCCACTCCTCCGCATTACTATCGCTTTGTGAACTCATTTTTCTCCTTCCCCTTTTTTCTCTCTCCCATTCCTTTCCCCTTTCCCTCTTTCTGGTGACCGTACCGCCCATGCGTACATACCCTTGGCATTGCTTAGCTTGTCACACTTGCTCCTAGGCTGCAGAATGTGGCGTGGCGGGAGTGCAGGGACAGAACAGGCCCAGTCTCTGTGTCCCTCAACTATTGACACCTCTATTTCACACCAGAGCCTAGGAGGGGAACCAGCAGCTCAGCCTGGCCCACCAACAAGGAAGAATCCAGAAAAGGGACAGTATTGCTTTGCCTGGAGTAAGCAGAGGAACTTGGAAGGTGTGCTCAGCTATGCGCAGGCCAGACAAGGGTCTGGAAACGGAGCCTGGACTTTCTGCTCAGGGTTTCACCCTGCTGCAAAGACAGGGAGCAGGAGCAGAAAGACCATGCTTGCTTTTCACCCAACACACGCAGAAAAGGCCACTTACCCCAGCCCTGCCCAGGGGACAGTGATGCTTGAGTGGCCCAGATTTATTGGAGCAGAGGAAAAACAGCAGGTCCTAAATGTCAAGGTGAGAAGGAGTGTGTCCCGCCCAAAGAGGGAGTCCAGAATGTTCTCTGGGGTACAGTACACGAGCAGGAGCCTCAGGCCTAGAGGCCCCAGGAGCCAGCTCACGTGGGAGGTGTTGGGACTGCAGAGTCGGCAGTAGTCTCAGCACATTAAAAATGTCAAGAACAAGGCAGGGAATAACGTGAGGGGAAGGGTGCCTTCTGTTTTGTGGGAGGCAGGTTATGAAACGTTAGAAGGGCACGTTTGCTCTCATGTGTCGGCTTCACAGCAGGTTCAGTCTGGTGTCTGCTGGCACGCAGGAGAATGATGGGAAAGTGGTATCCAGGACCCCACTTCTACCTTGGGGGTTCTGGCTCTCCCTTCCATGCCCCAGAGGGCTTCCTGCATCTGTTCTAAGAGGAATTTAGAAAGTAAGTCAATCCAAGCCTGCCCCATGAAAGCGAGCATGTGGGGTGCTATTTCCCGGGCTTGAAAGGTAGTGAGCAGCAGCCGAGGCAGCATCTTCTCAAGAGCCCATGAGGTTGGCAAAACATAAGACAAAACACCAAGAAAATGTAGGCTTTCAACCTGGCATCATTCTGCAAGACACTGAGCTCGGTTCTCTGTTTCTTACCCCTGCTGCCCTGATGCAGCGCCCTCCTGGACACAGAGGAGAAGAGATTCTTCCTACCCAAAGAACTCCGTCATCATTCCTCCCAGAGCCGCCGTCTGCCTGGCCAATGGCCGCAAAGGAGCGGTGCCCAGAAAGGACACACTTGCCACTCTCGGCAGGAAACTGGCTGTGCTGCAAGCCCACTGCACCCCAGGCACCCCTGGAGGCAGGAGCTGGGCGCTGTCTTGGTTTTGTTTCCTGGGATAGGAATCTCGTTGACACAGTTTATTGAGGAGACGATCCCAGGAGACAAAGTGAGGTTTTTGGGGAAGCAAGACAGAAGAGAGGAAAGCCAAGAAAGGGACGTTAATGTGAAGGCTGCTGCTGAGAGCGCTGGGTTCACATCCACTGGGGTCCCTCTAAAGATCTCAACAGAACACACTTCAGTTGTCCTATCGATGGGCAAAGAGCCTGAGGCCTTTTTCCCCAGGTCCATCGCTCATTGGTTAAGGGTTGCTCGAGGTACCATTAACTCCAGGGCTTGTCAAGGGCTCAGCAAATTCCTGCAGCAGAAAAAGCCCTCAGGCCGAGATGCAGAAGCTTGAGGTAAGAAGCCACAGTGTGTCTGGAAGTTGCAGATGATGTCCAAGGGGACCTGCTCCATCTGTCTCCAACAGCCATCATGGCAAATGGCAATAGTGACCCCGGCCAGGCATGCACACATGTGCACACACATGCGTGTAGCTGCACACACATGCATGTAGCTCCCTCCCTCTCATTTGTGCTCCCTTCACTGTAGCCTCATAAACAGCAAGCCTGCAAGTGGCCTCAGCCCCGCCGAGCCACGCAGCCTGGCTTTGCCATCCAAGCAAGTAGGAACAGCACTCACAGCCTCCCGGACCTCAGCCCCTCCAGCGCAAATCCACACCGGCGACCGACTCCTGCCCGGCTGCGAGGAGGAGGACTTGCCTTTGCTGTTTGACACAAGCCCTGCTGAGGTGCAGCATGGGTAATGAAAAACGCCAGAGCACATGTCAGGAATCTGGGGTTTCTGGTCTCAAGTCCACCAGTAATTTACTTAATTGATGGCAAGGAAGTTAACTAAACTTTCTGGAACTAGGTTCCCCCATCGGTGAAATGAGGGTAATAGTACCTGCCCTATGTACCTCCAAGAGTTGTAGTGAGGCTGCTGGGAGCTGATTCACGAGCCTGGAAGCACCTTCACATATAAGGGATGCTCACTGCGCAGCTTGGGCCTGTCACACTGGTCAGGGCCTTGCTGGCTGACCTCCCAAAGCCCCCTTTCCCTTGCCCCCAAGTGTAGCGTTCTATCTGTGAGTGCTGACTGTCCTCTGGTCTAGAAGAAACGAGGCTGTCATTTGCAATAAGTCCAGGCAGACCAAGTCTAGGACCAGGTCACTCCCAGGGGACACACAGAATTTCCTGTGGCAACAGGCAAGCAGGCCTGCTTACTGCCTGCAGGGTGCCCAGTCCCTCTATGTTTTCATTTAGCTCTCTGACAAATAGCAAATTTCTGAATCACTATACAAAGTGGTGGATGGGGCAACACAACTCCCCCAACACATGAGTAGCACAGTGACAACTCCAGCTACCACGCTTACCATGGGTCATCAAGGCCTCCGTGGTGTCAACAGAGAAGCAAGTGTCAGTTGGACCCTACCCCTCCAGCTATACCCAGGAATGCGCATTTGTCACTCAGAGAGGACTACCCTAAAGGGTAAACTGATCCCTAGGGCTGGAAACACGAACAGTTCTGGAAAAGAATGCAAGGTTTATCGCTCAATCAGATACTGGTGATGATGCTCAAATCTTAAAAAACGGCAACAATACCCGCTGTAATATTCAGTGTGGACCCAGCCAAGGTCCTTGGGGCGTAATGGTGGAGGGAGGGGTTGCTGAACCTGTATGCCCAGGCTTGGAGAGAAAAGCTCTTATCATCATCATCCAGTTGCAAACAATGAAAGCAAAGCGACTGCGATAGAAGCGTGTTGGTGGGGGAGAGGCTGGGAGGAGGCGCTCAGCAGTTCCCAGAATAAATCCCCATGTAAACCCAAAGAATGGGAGCGGAGAGGAGCCACTGCTCCTTCTTTCTTTTAAGCCAAATAATATTCTCCTGCCGGAACAGAGTTGTTCTTGGCACTGGGAAGTAGATGAGGAGGGAATGAAAACACGACGCCGGAGAAAGGAATCCATAGGAAATCTGAAGGCAGGGACATGGTGAGAAATAACAAAGAGATGCGTTGGTGGCAGGAACAGAGATTAACTGTGCCCGAGGAGATGGAGTGTGGGCTCTTAGGATAGGGGATCAGCCACCGCAAGCGCTCGGCAGTGCGACTGGGTCAGCCGAGGGCAGAGACGCCTGCGTCCTTCGCCTCCACTCTGAGGGCGCCCGGAAATTCCTGCCCGGCCACGGCTGCTCCGGGTCAGGCTTCTGGAAGCTGAGGCCACAGCGCCTGCTGCCTCCTTGCACCAGTTCTGGAAGGACGCCCCAGGACCACACCAGCGAAGGACCCATCTAGTGATGCAAAAGATCAACACAGAAAGTTGTGAAACCTGGCAGAGAACAGGAGCCTCTTCCCGCCACCTTGACAAGTGGCAGAATTTGGAAGAATTTCTTCTCTGGCGAAGGGAAGTCGACGAGTGGGCACAAGCACGCGGCCATAGCTCTTCGTGCTCTAACTCTAGATGGCAGGCAGAAATGCCCGGCGCCTTTCCACTCTGTTCACATCGAATCCCCCAGTGCCCGTGCGCAAGCTCCTCCAGTCAACAGCATTTGGGTCAAGATAAGGGTCTCTGCTGTGGCAAGAACAAGTCCATCACAAACGCTACACGTTCCAGCTGAAGGCATCGATCAAGGTGTCTACGCGAGGCACCAGGCAGAAGCAGCTGCCCTGGCCCAACCCTGAAATCCTTGACTCAGAGAACACGCATCTGTACTGATACCCACTGTTTACGCAAGCATCTTGCTCCCAGTGACTGGAGGCGGTTTACGAGCTGCCGGCGCCTTCCTCTTCGTGTCACTTGGAGGAAGAACAAGAAGTAGGGAAAGAGGAAGGGTAGACATAATCGTCTGCATTCGCTATGAGGACACTGAGGCTCGAAGAAGCCCTAAAGTGAAATGCGTAGATACTTGTGAGTCACACACTGCCCAAGGGAGAGCCAACCTGAGCCATTCTGAATCCTAAGTGGACTATTTCCTTGCCCAACAATTTCATGCAGCTGTTCTGACACAGCCTCAAAACTGGAGAGTCAGAATGCAAACTCACTGTTTATCTGTTTAATGACCAAGTTCCCTCCCCTCCTTGCGGCACTCTTGCAATTTGATTGACACTTTTACTGACTTCAGAGGCCTCTCGACCCTCCTCTAGTCTGTACCTGTTCCCAGTTTTCCCAGTCACCTCATTCCTGACATTTAGCCCTTTCTAGGCCATTACGTGATCCTGCTCTTTCTCCCATTTTAAATCTCTACCATACCTTTCCCTCACCTGTCTCCGATCCATACACCTTGGTGCCCAGAGGTAGGATTGGCAATAGAGGGAAGATCAGGGCTGGGTGAAGCTCAAAGGTGGAGCATAAGATGCCCATCTTGCTCTTCACTTATTTTGTAAAAGCTGAACATTTATTGGCTGAATTTTTAGGCCAAGTCAAAGTAGCTGCAATAGAGTGTCTCTATTAAAACAGCTGCATCTGAAGAACTGACAGCCTAGACGTCACCTGCCTCTGGCACCTGACTGTGGTCCTCTTTTGTGTAACCCTGCCTTCTGTTCTGCTGTGTTCCAGTGGGTGGTTAATCAGAAGAGGAGCTGGCACCCAGCCACTTTCTATCTTGTTGTTCCAAGTGAGGACTATGTAGGTGTCACAGATGAGACTGGCCCAGAAGCCAAACAGGGTGCCGATGGCACAGCCATGTGTTTCCACAACCCCGCAAGGCAGCCGGGCTGGCACCAGTCTGCTCCCCAACCTACTGCCCGCCCCCATCCACCCACAAACTCTTGTTGGGTCAGAAATGCAATTCACGGATGGTGCCAGACAGCCAGATGATGCTGGAAAAAAGGAAAGAAAAAGCAAAAGCAGATTTCTAAATTAAGCACAAGTCTTGTTTATAAAAATAAATAGCCACAGCCTAGCAACGAGCTCGGCTTCCCTCCGTGATGCAACCTCTGTGGGAGCCTGGGTGACACGGCCTGCAGAGGGACCACGCCCGGCCCCTCCCCCAATGCACTACTCACTGGAGATGCTGACTCCAGCACCTCCAGGGCCCGCTCTTCACCCAAGGCCTACGCAGGGCAGGACTCCAAAGCAGCAGAGCGGAGCCAGAGCTTCCCAAGCGTAACAAGGTCCTGAACACGGCCAGGCTCCTGGCAGGAAGTAACACACCTGAAGCAAATGCAGAGGAAGCTCTTCCCAGCTGCTGTACCCACCCAGAGGCCCCGCCCTGGACCATGTCTTCTGTGTGTACTACTGAGTGCCCAGTACCCAGCTCAGCACATGGCACGCACTGGGCACTCAGCAGCTATGTGAAGGAAGACTGGGATATGCATGAATAAATGGATGGATGTGCCATCCCATCGCCGCCGCTTCCCAACTCTCCAGCCCCAATGGAGGAAACTCCAGAATTGGAACAGAAGCATGACCTCTGATGACGACATGCACCAAAGAAGCAGTGTGTCCGTGGGCTGGATGTTCAAATGTGAGGTGACAGCTGGGGTGAGCCCCTGGGAGGTCATTAGGAGGTGTGGGCTTTTGCAGCCGAGGTGCAGGTAGCGTGGCCAGCACACGTGGAGGGGCAGGGGACATGGGGTGTGCACTTGGTAACAGCTGTCAGTGCTCCCGGAACCTTCCCTCATTCCTTAGGCGGCACCAGCTCCAATGGTGAGGTATTGCTAAGCAGAGAAGCTACAGGACAAAATAGTACGTGAGTTTCTGGTCTTAGTCCTGCTGGGAAATAAAAAATGGAGCCCCGAGTGCCCTTCGAGGCTCTATAGGCCAAACGCATTGGAAATGGAACACACACACACACAGAAGAATCCCATCACCAACCCTCCCACATCGTGAAATGATTAAGTGGCTAGTGTGACCCTGACACAGTCCCCAGAATACTGGACATGAAGTACTCCTCTGAATTCCAGAGGACCCTGGTGGGGTTGCAGGGGACAACGTTGACTCCTGGGGTTGTTGCTTCTGAGAGGCTCCACACACTCCTTAGTGACCAGAGTGCTGGAAGACAGCATGTCCAAGTCACCTCAAAGCAGAGGCCCTGGGGTAAACAGATCAGAGACATTGGCCCACAGTTCAGAAATCTGTCTTCAGGCTCCTTGTATGGCCTGGCTAGAAACCGTAAAATCACATCCATGTCAGAGAGAAAAAAGGCTCCTAATTAAATTCAGATGTACAAGAATACATTACGGGTCTATTTTTGGAATAATAATTTATAATAGAAAAAAAAATCTAAAGAGCACCAAAAGTGGTGCAATAGTATGCAGCTTTACACAGCAGTGAGGCATGAGGTCCTCACGGACTCAGATCCTTTCAGTCCGACGGCCTCCCAGACCACAGCTGTGGTGCTGGAACATTTAGGAAGAGGGACTCTGGCAGTGGCTGGATTGGGGGTGTGACCACAAGGACACAGCCCCAGCAGAGGGTAAGCACACAGGCTGGTCAGGCTACCCTCAAATCTACAATGACAGTTCTTTGGTGACCCTAAGAGAAGCCCTCAGAGCAGGCTGACCATGGCATTCGCAACAGCAGACCTCTGCTCCCGTCTGGCGAGTGGATTCTACGGGCCCCTAACCCTCCATGCCCAGGGCTCCCACTTCTGAAATGGCTGCACAGTGGTAAGGCCCCGCTGATCCCCATTCTCTATAGAGGGTACAGAGATTCCTGAGAACGGGGTCCAAGACTCAGCTTTGAGATCTTAATTACTTGGAAACTCAGTTTCCTCATCTGTAAAATGGGGCAATAGAAACTCTGCTATCTGCCTCCCAAGACTGTGTGCGGAACAAATGAAGCACTGTTATGTTCAAATACTTCTCAACTGCAAGCCATTGTTCTGTGTGAAAATACTTCCTAAATCGTAATTGTATACGAGGAGATGTCTGCTTCTGATGTGGGGAGTGAGACTCTTTTGTCACAAACTTTCAGGGTGCTGCCTGGTTCCCATTGTTCTAGGGTTTGGTCCATCCTGGTCATAATCCTAATTTCTTGTAGCTTGGCTTCACATACCAAAGACTTCTTACATTTGTGTATGTATGTGTGTTTGTAACTGCTTCTCCTTCTTTACAATCCCTCAGAAAGTTCTAGAATTCTAGAATGCATGAGGGACCTAAGGGGCTCAACTAGTCCATCCACCCCACTACTTTGCAGATGGAGACGCAGGGACACAGAAAGGTTAAGAGCTTGTCCAAGTCCATGGGTTGAGTTTCACTTGTCCTGTTTTTGGTTCCTCTCACAGCCTTGCGGTATCTGCCCTTTAGTGGGTCTTTGAGTTCAAATTAGGTGCTTCCCTCGCTACATAATAGGCACGTGTTCCCCATTTTTGAGTGAGTAACTATTACTTAAGCTAAGTGTGTTATGTAGGGTGTGGGGGGTGGGAGCAGGACCATGTTGGCCAGTTGAGGGCAACTGGTTGGTTAGTAAAGAGTGGCAGTTATGGGCACAGGCACCTCTAGTGATCTAGGTGACGCCTCATCTTGACAGGTCACATCTTTTGAATTTGCCTTTTATTTTTGAAAACTAAATATACAGTTGACCCTTGAACAACATGGGTTGGAACTGCATGGGTCCACTTATACACAGGTTGTTTTTTTCAGCAAATATATATATTAATGTAAATGTATTTTCTCTTCATTATAATTTTGAATAGCATTTTTTCCTCTAGTTTTATTGTAAGAATAGAGTATGGAATACGTATAACATATAAAATATGTGTTAATCAACTGTTTATATTCTCGATAAGATTTCTAGTCAATAGTAGGCTCTTAGTAAAGTTATTAGAGAATCCAAAATTATACATAGATTTTTTTTACTGCATGGGGTTGGGAGGAAGATGTGTGCCCCTAACCCCGACATTGTGCAAGGGTGAACTGTATGATCACTTCACTTTTTTAGTTATTTGTGCTAATTTGCATTCTCCAAGAAATAACAGAATACATCTGTACAAAGCATAGGATATACCTAACATAAGTTGCTATCAAGTTGCTTTAGAAGAACATGGTATGAAAGGGAACTAGAGTTTGGTGAGTGACAGTTCCTCTACCACCTGCTCGTCTTCCTCTTAGCAGATGACCTTATATATGTACCCAGTAAAAGAATTGAGCTTATTTTGTGTGAAACCCTCCCCCATACTCTCCATACCTACTCACTTGTATGAAGAAAAGTGCTTTTTTATGTCTGTGACAACAGCTCTACCTGCTAGCTAGGCCTAGGGGAACCAACCACCCTGGTTAGCCCAGGACTGAGGGCGACTGGGGATGTTCTAGGCAGACTGAGACACATTGATTGTCCTTGTAGGCCCCGTGCCCTCTCCCCGGGGACCTTTACAAACAAATAATTAATGAATAAATTGACACCAAATAGTACCAAATTGCTATGTGAGATTGGAAGTCAGGAAGAGAACTGGAATGAATGAATGAATGAATGAATGAATGAAGTGTAGTGATTTATTTTTCATGAAAGGATCCATGAATGAAGGGAAGGAGGAGTACTAGGGGGAGGATATTCTACTATCCAGGTGAGCAGAAGAGGAGAAAAACTAAAAGATCTATATAAAGATGGAGTCCGCTCATCAAAAAGAAAAAACCTGATGGTAAGTTAGGGGAATCCATAATATGTAAGACGCAGACTATAGTAGTGTTCCCCAACTATTTTAATTTCATGGCAGACATTTAAAAATATATACAATATCTGCAACATGGGGCTCAACTGAAAGGAGGAGCTACTTATGGCCAGAGGTGAGTGACGAAGGGACATCCGGGCCACAGAAACTGCCCCGTCCACTGAGGGGTGAGAGTATCAGTATCTCAGCTCCCTTAACCCGGTGACCTTCGAACTCTAGGATCACAGCACTGCAGCATAAACACCAGGGTTTAGACTCCAGTCCATTGCAAACCTGAAATCCACCTTCTGCCTAGGTTTCTGGTGAAACTAGCGAAACCCAGGCCATCCAACTCCCTCTGATGGCCCAATATCGCAAAGCTTCCTCCAAGGGTGTTTCCTGCAGTGGGGCTGCTGTGGGTTCCTGTTTACATCCCCACTCCCTTGGGCCAGGTTTATCCCCTGTGTGCATGGAGTTGTAGGTTGAGCAATAATCTAATGACTTTTGGCAAGAAGGAAGCACTCCAAGATCCCACTCAGCCAGCACGCAACAGCTGACCTGAAATGAGTTTTATAGAAACATTAAAAAAAAAAAAAGATATTGCCAACAATTTAAAAATTCAGAAACTTCTCATTAACACATTCAGATAAAACGGCTTTCGGGGGAAAAATGGAAAGACCTGATAATTCAGGGGTGCAGTGTCCTCCCTGGTCACAATCATCTGAGGCCGAGGGCCGAGGTCGTGCAATCCATAGGAGTGTTGGCTGCCGGGGTTCAAATCCCACCCCTGCTACTTACAGGTAAACCATATTCATGTACTTAACTTCCCCAAGCCTTGGTTTCTCTCTCATCTTTACAGACAATGTTAAACTAATCGTATTTATTTTTGCATATAAAAAAATGCTTAAAACAGTGGCTAGCACCTAATAATCATTCAACAAACATCAATGCTTTCCCTGTCCCTCCCGCTTCCACAGGTAGCTTTGCTATGTTTCTTACCTTCCTGGTCGCATGAGCCTAACTGTTAGTGTAAATAGTTCGACAAAAGGAGTTTGGCAACAGCGGTGCCTCAAGTCACTAGGTAATAAATAAGTGATTTCCTGGGTGGATTGGCCCTCTCCCCGGCCTGGCACACGTCCCTCCTCCCACTCTGGGTTTCTCCCTC